CTTTCCCTAGGTCTGGCCTCTTCTTCTCACAGGAGATTTTTATGACTCTACAGATCACAGAAATTTCCATCTCCAATACACCATAACACGGATGAAACAGAGATGAATAAATATGTATAGATGACAAGACTAGCTCATTAACTTCCCTGCTTCTCCATCTTTTCATCTGTGAAGGGGAGATAATGTTATAATACCACTTCATAAAGCTGTTGAGAGAATATATTCCAGGACACTTCTTAAACATACTGTGATCCTGGAAATGAAAGCAATGGCTGGTCAACGGGAAAGCCTATTTGCCTCAGTGGTAATGGGGTTTCGTGGGAAAGAGCCCTTTGCAAGGACAAAAGTGCTGCTGGGAGGCTAAAAGATACCTGCAGACTTCACACAAATGCAGTGACGCCTTTAGGCAAAACACATTTTGTTGTATCCATAGCATTTTAAACACAAACATATCATTATGTGCATATCATTGATTTCTGATGATATGAGTGTGTCATATAGGAACATGAAGAGCCAGCCTGAGAGATGCTGGCAGAAATACTAGTACAAGCATGATTATATCAGTACCACTCTTTTTTTTTTTTTTTTAAGATGGTATATTTTTTTTAGACAGTTTTACTACTGTGTTGAATAGCTATGTCCACAAGGAAGGATTTTTGGTACATCACACTGATCCTTGCACAGTGTGATCAAGTCCCTCTACTGCAGTCAACTAACGCAATGCACAAAGGTGCAGGGAAACACCATGCAAAGACCAGAGAGCACAACCTTCCCTCTCAAACCTGGACCACTGCTCTGCTTCTTCAATGGGCCTTAATGCTGGCTTAACACTAAGGACTCCATATCGTCACACTCACCTACATCAGCTCTGCTTAGCACTCTCCCCAGTGGCCAGGGTCTCATATCAACGACCTTCCCATTGACACTGAGGCTTTGAACGCAGCCCTGGAAGCCACGGTTGGTGCCAGCTGCTCTGACCAGCCAATACACGCTGGGGGCACCACCAACGTAGAACGGAGTCCGGAATGTAATTTTACTATATTGGCCCTAGAGAGGAAACAGAGCATGACATGACATGGAACAGACATAACACACGATAACTAATTAAGCCATACTGCACATAATCAATTATTTTCTCCCTGAAGAACTGTCTCGGGGAGATATAGGCTGCTCATTAGTAATTCCTTCCCATTAGGCATTCCTTCTCTTAGTGTCATTTTAAATGTTTCTTTTTGCATCCACAGCCATTATGATAGGTTGGACTATTTAATGCAAAATAGAAAGCTTAAAACTTACTATATTCTGAGGAATGCTTGAGGATATCTGTCTTTTCCTGCCATTTCTTCCTCTACTTTCACCAAAATTGTTTTTCTTCTAAATTCTAAGCCCTGAGGGACACATACCAATGTGACACTGCCTTTTGGACAGAACCCAGGAAATATTTACTATAAAATAATAATAAAATGACAAAAAAATGTTAAAAACAGATCCAAGACATAAACTGATACAACATCAACTTCACTGGGTTTCTGCTCACTTCGCTACCACTAAATTTGCTCCCACTTATTTTTTTGGCCTTTATCTGATTGTGGAAACCTACAAAACTAGCACTGCTAGAGCACATAGTAAGGAACAAAAAAAAGCCTGTCCTAGCTGCTTGCCACTACCCCTCGCCTTTGATGCTCCTGCCACCTGGGGCTGTCAAGTTCCATCACTCTAACCTGTTCAAGCAAAAATGAACCAGGTGAGAGAAGACTACTGTTCTGCTGACATTAATGCACCTTATCTGGACTAGAGTGGGCTAAGGAAGACTCACAGGAACAGTCGTGCTAAGGGAGCAGAAGCCCTGGCAGAGAGAAACACCTGGAGCAGTAATATCTTCTGGTTCTGTCACACCTAGAAAAATGCATGAGTCCACTGCCAAATTCTTCTTGTAATAATCACTGCAAACCATAATCTTTCTGCTGGCTCTTCTTTGCACCTTTTCTTGCTTGACTTTGTCTATCTTGGATATAGGTGTTCACAGCTGTACATAGCCAAATACAGTCCCACCAAAGCCTTTTACAGCGGCATTAGTCTCTATTGGAAATATCCGTCCTGATTCACCCTAAAATCACATCTGCCCTTTGCATGGCCTCATTGCATTAGTAACACACAGAAGCATCTGACAGACGCTAAATTCCTTCTCCTCTGTCATTGCCAGTTGATGATTTCTCCATATGTAGCAGAAGTTAGACCCCAAGCTGTCAGTCTTCATCCCATTCCTATTACTCAAGTCCTCGAGATTTTTTTTCCTTTCAGAGCATGCATATGAAAGTGTAAAGTGATAAGATGTCTGAAGCCACCCTTTTCAGGGCTAGGGCATGCTAATAGTGCTTATCAACAAGAAGAGAGAAGGCATCTGAACCAAATTGCAAATGTCTCCTTTTTTCTTTTTTTTTTTTAATTTCACTTCTGTTTTCTCCCACATTAGCCTGCCCTCTAATCCTTACCCACAAGCTCTCAACTCGCTCATCCTCGACTCCCAGGTTGAGCTCCATGCATTCCAGTTGCTCTCTCACATAAAGAGCA